CACACACACACAGAGCCTGTTTTGCTAAATGACCGTAAGAGTTTCAACCCCATCAACAACTCTCTCCCCATCTCCCCTTCTCTCTCTCCATCCCCCACCCATCTTTCTCTCCCCATTCCCACACCCTCTCTCTCTCTCCATCTCCCCCCTCTCTCTGTCTAGCTTTGCCTGCCAGCTTCTTTCTTTGTCGGTCAGTCAGTCTGTCTGTCTGTCTGTCTGTCTGTCTGTCTGTCTGTCTGTGTCCGTGTCTCTCCCTCTCTCTCACACACACACATACAGTAAAACTAATTTTCCCAAAACCCATGCAGTCCTCCCTCACACCACAATTCCAACGTTCTCCACACCACAGAAATGTCAACACACAGCGCAGCACCGAAAATGGTCAAATCATTATAATATATTATAACTGGTCGCTTTTAAGGACAAGCAGGCAAACCAGATTGCGAGGGTTTCCAGAAATCTTGACCTTCACCAAAAGTGGGCATTGCTCTACCTATCGGAGAAGTTTGGTTCCACTTCAGAGTATATTTGTTTGGTTATAGAGAAAACTCTCCTTGTCTTTTAAAGAAACTGAACAAGGGGCAAAAACTTTACCTTCGATTTTCTCAAAACAGCATTTTTTTAGATAGTCCCCTTGTGCTTAATAGCGACCAACTCTCACCCTCCATTCTTCTTCTCCACTATCCTATGAGCAAACACCAGAACACATTAACAAACTAAACAAACACTCGTGATCACACACACACAGCTACAGACACAGACACACAGCTACAGACACAGACACACACAGACACACACAGACACACACACACACACACACACACACACACACACACACACACACAGAGAACTAAAAATCGTCAAATCATTATTATAGCTCTCACCATCCATTCTTCATCTGCACCATCCTAAGAGCAAACACAAGAACACATTAACAAACTAAACAAACACTCGTGAACACACACACATACACGCACACACACACCCACATACACAGCGCTGCACTAAAAATCGTCAAATCATTATTATACATAGCTCTCACCCTCCATTCTTCATTGTTCTTCTACACTATCCTAAAAGCAAACACAAGAACACATTAACAAACTAAACAAACACTCGTCATGAACACACACACACACACACACACACACACACACACACACACACACACACACACACACACACACGCACACAAACACACACACATTCTTGGTCCACACATCCATTCAGCAAGCATGCTTGTTTATCTTCTTTTCCTCTCCTCAGCACAATCAACCGTTTCGTTTGAGCGCCACTAATCATATTTCTTTTCATACACGTAACTCAACTCGTAAGCATTAAATAATAACCTTTGGACGGGTTCTGATAATGCGAGCGCTTCATCTTTCTTCCTCATTTTTTTTTCTCTCTTTAGAACATTTTCCTCTTTTCACATCTGCTTTTATTACCCTCTCCCACTTCCATGTGTTTATCAATTCATTTCGCTTTCTTTTTTTTCTTCTTCTTTTTCGGTGTTGGTGGGGGGAGTGAGGGTGTGTGTGTGTGG